GCCCAGGCTGGAGTGCAATGGCACAATCTCAGCTCACTGCAACCTCTCCTCCTGGGTTCAAGCACTTCTCCTGCCTCAGCCTCCCAAGTAGCTGGGATTACAGGCACCCACTACCACATCTAGTTAATTTTTTTTTTTTTTTTGTATTTTTAATAGAGATGGGCTTTCGCATGTTGGCCAGGTTGGTCTCGAACTCCTGATCCACCCGCTTCAGCCTCCCAAAGTGCTGGGATTACAGGTGTGAGCCACCATGCCTAGCCAAGTCTTCCCATTCTAGCTGAAGAAAACATAGGCATGTCAGAAGTACGAACTGCCACTAAAAAAAAAAAAAGAAGAAAAAATTCCATCTCGAATCAGACCCAAGGTCTAATGAGTCTATGCTTCTTTCACTTCCCCCATCCTGTAAAGTCGAGGACAGGGATTAAGATTTTGTTATTTCAACAAACCCAGAACCTGCCACAGGGCCTGGCACACAGCTGGTCCTACATAAATGTTTGCTGAATGAATGCATTAAACATGGGCCCTCGTCTGTCAGGTGGTGGCACATGTGAGTTCATGTGGGTGAAGGGTGCAGGGCGGTGCACAGCACAAAGTCAATATGGCCTAAGTCACCATGATCACCATGACCCTCAAGCATCTGGGTTGCTTTTAGAGGAAAAATAAAGATCTTCCTATACTCTAGGTTTTTCCTTTTCTTTTTCCCCCCTACAGGGAATTGCCATATGAAATGGAACTCTTGCGAGTTTGGGCCTTTCAAGTTCACATCCCATCGGTGGTTCTATAAAGTCTGCTGCCATTATTCTGAAGCCCGTCTTTGATACCAACCCAAAGTCCTTGAATTGTCATCAATATGACTACCAGAAAGCATGGGCGAATTACATGGTCAGAGAAGAATAAGAAATGCTCACATATCACACCCTCTTGATCATCACTACTTTGCTCCATACAAACCTCAAAGGTGGTTCACCAAGACTGGTCTCTATGGGGGGGGGGGGGGGGGGGGGGGAGAGGGAGAGAGAGAGACAGAGAGAGAGACAGAGAGAGAGAGAGAGAGAGAGAGAGAGAGAGAAATAAAACATAAAATAACTTACAGAAAGCACCAAATTGCCTTTTGTAGGAAAATGACGTTTAATGCACGATGAGGCAGACCCTACCTTGTGGTGGGTGAGGAGCCTCCCCTTGGAAGAGGCCCTTGGGGAACCACCTCTGGGTGCTTCCTTGCCCAGCCTGCTGCTCTGCTTAGGAATGGATCTTGGTTAAGGACAAAGGTTATCTTTCATACCTGGGGATACTTTCCAAAAGGCACAGCTGCAGCCCCTGAAACTGCCCCAGCAGTTTATTTCCACATTTTTCAAGTAGCACAGAAAGTGCCACTATAGAAGAGAAATTCTCTACCTGAAACTAGCAGAAGCTCAATGCAAATAAAGAATCTAGAAAGGTCACAGAAGGGGTAAAAAGAAGGTTCTTTCTTCTATGGCTATAGGGGGTTTATTGTTGCTGGTGCCCAAACTGGAAAGGGAATCGCAGGAGATTAATAATTGAGATGTTGCTATTATTGGTTTTCTAAACTATTTGTGGGTTATTCTTTCCCTGGAGTCATCATGCCTGTAAGCATCTCAGAAGATAGAGGGATTTAACACACACTCAGAAGATGCCTACTATAGCCAGGGACTTTACATGCACTAGTTTCTAATGGAGTTCCTGCACAATCCAATAAAGCCCAAAGTCATATGGCTAGATTCAAACTCAGGCTTCTCTGATGCAAGTATCACAGCACACTGTCTGAAATCAAGGATAAGATTAAGGCACCTTACTTACTACTCAAATGTGGTGAGAAGAAAAGCAATATTTATACTTACTAATTTTTTAAATATAAAACCTAAACACAGGAACAGATATGTTAGGGCATGTATCATCAAACTCTGCTAACTGAAGATGATTCCGAATCTCATTTCTTGGTAGACAGCTTGGTAGACAGGCATCTTCAGGTCTATCTGATGATGAATTGCAGCAGAACAGTTTTTGGAAGTCTGTGAAGTGTTCTTTTACATAAGCCAATAGTAATCAACACAGCATATCTCAGGGAGAGGAAAACATAAATATCTTGGAATTCAGTCTCCTCTCATTCAGAACCCACGGCAATAGAGACCTTGGCTGTTGGCCTTTGCACTAGATATTGAAAAAGCCTTGCTAAGCAAGTTGATAGAGGAAATACAATCACAAGGCAAATGTTTAACCTTCTAAAGAAAATAAACCTTTTTATAAGAAGTTCAGTTCCAAACCACCAAAAACTAACGTGCTATTTATAAACCTATCCTTCAAGAAAGCCCGGGAAGACTGATTCTCTTTGCCACCCATGAATTCTTATGATCAAATACCCCTTGTTTCAAAAACAGCATTTCTGTCTAAATCTCTGGCGGTTCAGAAAGCTCCATTAATGCAACTGGGCCTTCACCTGGCATTCCAACCTGGTACAGCAGTACCCCATTGAAACAATTCCCCCTTGTGTCACTACACTTTTCCTGAGAAGAATCATGCACAGAGGAGCTCAAAATCCACGAGGAATCCCTCTTCTTATAGAAATCTGCGGGAAAAGCTCTGCTCATTTAGCGTGCACACAGGGAGTCCATGTGTTCTGATTGAGATAGGGGAAAAATCAGGTTTCCTGAACCCAGCGGATGTTACCATGGCGGGAGAAAGGAGGTCATCAGAGTCTTGGCACACTCATCAGTGAGTGAATGCGGGTCCTAGCAACCTAATCCTTGATTCTAGAGGTCACCTGTTGTAGAGCATATCCAACAATCTCTTTCAAAAACACCCAGGCCTGGGCTTTTGGCAGAGTGATGTGGGCTAGTTGAGGTGGGATGGGGAAGAACATTAGAAAAATAATTATAAAGGTGCACAGAGAAACATCCGGAATAAAAGGGTGCACAGCGCGGGAAGAATGAAGAAGGCACATGGATAAGATGGAGGGAAACCGAGGGCTGAAAGAGGCCACCACGGAGGTCACCTGAGACAGGGAAGGAAGGCTGGAAAATAAAAACAGTTCATGAGACTTTTGAGATCCATGATTATTCTTAAACCGTAACACCCTACACACCTGCAATTCTTTATCTGGCGTAAGGAACTGGAAGAACAATGTAGCAGGAATGGGGAGAGCCAAGTCTCAGCCTCGGGGGCATGGCCTACATTCCACATGGATTTAGAATGAAAGGAGCAGGAGGAGAACAGTGCAGTTCCCAAGATGGCTTTCCACAAAGTTGACAAAATACACCCCAACTCACATACCCGGTCCCTAGTAACAGGGAAACCAGCCGTTTACTATAGTTCTGAATTCAATGCCAAGTTCCTTCTCGCAACTCACCAGGAGTGTCCAGCAGAGGGAGTCTCAAGGAGGTACTTAATAAAGAGAAAATTGTTTCATTTTAACACTCTAGACAGTGGGAGCATTGACTGTAGCCCCCTCCTGTAGACGCAGATGAACAATGAAAGCCCGACATGGGTTCTCCCGCATGTTCACATGTTCACCGGCATGTTCTATTCTGCGTGGTGGAGTGATCAGAAATTTCGTTTTGTTTTGTCGAATGGTTAAATGGACCTTGTGTTCTTCAGAATCAAAGAGGAAAGCCCCTGGAATAACATCTCTCTGTTGCCTTCTAAACAGCCCCTTTGTTTCTAAGAGAGTCTGAAAAAAAATATTTACAGTCCATAGGTTATTTACAGCCTCGTTATCCAGGGCCTGACTGGTAACTTTATTCCGGCCAGAAACCTAATTCATTTGGAGCCCTGAATCTAATAACAGATTTTCTTTTCAGATAAGTTGTTTTTTTTTTTTTAACCAGCCTCTTATAACAGAGATAAAACTATTAACGCCTTCCCCGTCTCACTGGCCACAACTGTTCTCCGGATTTACAGGCGGATTACATTCCCCCCTCGTGCCCTCCTCTGTGCCACACAAACCCTGTCCCCTCTCATTTGCGATTTCATCCACAGAATATCTGAACAAAACCGAAAGAAAGCCAGGGAGACCCACACTAAAAGTATGTGAAGGCTGCGAATTCAATGATTTCATGAGACAAACATTTACACGATGAAAAGACTGAAAAATCAGACACACTTGGGTTTAAAATTTCTCCTACTACAAGCACACAAAAACACATCGAAGTGTAAAAACTTAGTTGATTCTGGGTTGCTTTCTGGCTGGAAGCTGACAGAACGGACTGAAGAGAAACGAAAGACACTGTGCGAGGCAGACCTACTGCTTTTCTGCCTTGCGTTCTTTTCTTTCTTGCTAAAGGCAAAGGGGGAAAAATACCCCGACGCCAGGTGAAGGTGCACAACACAGGTCGACCCAGACCGAGCCAGGAAAACGTATCCGCCGCTCCCCCGGCTGGAAAACCCAAAGTCCACGTCCCCTTCCACACGCTAATGCGGGGAGATTTTCGCCTATTTCATTGTTCTGCCTGGCTCTGACACGGACTTTTCATCTCTCTCCCCACCTAGCCCCGTGCATTCCGATTCCACAGCCCCCCCAAAATCGGAGGCTCGCGGAGAATAAAGGAGCGTGGGGTGGGCGCGGAGAGAAATGGGAAGGGGCGCGGGGCGGAGAGCGAAGTGGAAAGGAGGTGCTCCGAAAGGTAATGTGGGGGGGCGGTGGAAGCTGAGCCGCATCACCTTCTTTTATCGCAAATAAATAAAAAGCACAGTCACCGGTCCGCCTTCCCCGGCGCCCCTGCCCTCCGCGGGCAGCCGCCCACCCTCGCACACGCCCCCTCCCCTCCTGCGCCCCCGGTCCCTCTCCCCGCCCTGGAAGCAGGACCCTGCCGGCGCCGGGTCCCGGTCATCTTCCGGGCGAGGGAGGGGGTCGCGGCCCCCTCGGGCCCCGGGTGGGGGCTGGGGCGGGCGCCGGGGGCTGCGGGCGCGGGGCCGCGGGCAGAACAAAGCTGCGGGGGCCGCACCGGGCGGCGGGCGCGGGGTCGGCGGGGCCGGGCGCCCCTTACCTTCGTACACGGGGGCCATCGGGGCCGGGGTGTCCGCGGTTCATGGCAACGGGGACGGGAAAGCGGCGCGCGAGCTCGGCCCCCCCAGCCTCAGTCGGAATCTGCCATCTTGAGCCTGTGTCTCCGCTCTCGGCGCAGCCGAGGCCGCCCGCGCCCGCATCACCGCCTCCCGTGGCCGGCGCCGGGGGAGGGGGCCGGGCGCGCCGCCGCCGCCGCCGCCGCTGCCGCCCGGGCCCGGCGCGGGGGCCGCCGCTGCCGCCGCCGCCGCCTGGCCTGGCGCGGGGGCCTGGGCTCGGGGCCTGGGGCGGCTGGGCGGGCGGAGTGGCCGAGTGCCGAGGCGCGCTGCGGCTCCCGGAGCGGGTCCGAGGGGCGGGAGCTGGGGCAGCGCGCCAGGGCCGGCGGGGCTCAGCTCAGCATGGCTGGGCGCGGGCTCCGGCAAAAGTTGCTGGCGGAGGGGGCGGCGGGCGGCGGGGCGCGGGGCCGAGAGCCACAGGGAGTCCGCGCGCAATCGAGCGCCGATGGCACGGATGCGAGGCGGGAAGGCCGAGCTGAAGGGCAGAGCCGCGCCGGCGGCCTGAGTGGGACCGCGCTGGAGGAAGGCCGCCGCGCGCGCAGCGCGGGGACTGGGCGCGGGGCGGGCCCCGGGTAGGTGAGAGGTTGGCCTGACCCGGCGGGCGCAGGGCTCCGAGCCCAGCGCAGCTGAGCTGGTCCGCAGAGGGGCCCTCAGAACTTGTGTGTGTGTGTGTGTGTATGTGTGTGCCCCAGGTGCGAGGGTGCGCGCGTGTGCTGGCGGGGAGGGAACTGGACCTGCGCAAGAGAGCCCTGGGCTGGCAAAGTGGCTCGCCCATCCTACAGCCGGTTGGCGCTCGCGGGAGTGGGAGTGGAATGAATGAATGAAGGAGTGGCGCGCGCTGTGCTCCCGGGGAGGGCGGAGTGGAGGATGGAAAGCTACGTGAGGTCAGAGGCACCGAAGCCCTACCGTGCACGCCGCGGAAATGCAGCCCCTGGGGTGGTCGCTGCCCTGCCGGAGTCTGGCTTCGACGTCACTCCTGATCTTCGCCTCTCGCGTCTACTGCCCCGAGGGTCCCCCTCCATCACTGAATGCGCTTGCGAAAGGTCGGGTCCTCGCTTTTCACAGCGCTTTCTCCTATCAGGGCTTTCGCCAAAATCACCTCCAAACTCTCCCCAGCCCGAGCCTCTCCAGGTTTGCTTCTCCAGCTGCCTCCTGGATGCTTGGATAGGATGCCCTGCCATCCCCTCCAACTTAGAAAGACTTGCTGAGTCTCCTTAGGCACTGTTTTTAAAACTGTGGGTCGATACAGTAATAGATCATAAATGAATGCAGCAAGACAAATGGTTTTCAAAAGAATGAAATGGAATCCAATAGAAAATATTAGGAGTCCATTGTTCTTAGTAAGGGCAAAGTCCATTGTTTCATAAACCTTTGTTTCAATGTTATAGGTACTGGATAAGTGTATTAGACCATGATGTCAATTTATTTCCCACTGTAAATCGTGGGTTTAGAAAAGTTGAAAAGCTTATCTTTTTAAGGTGTAAATAATGATCTCTAATACTGTATGGCATTCTAAAAACAACCCCGTGATTTTCACTACTTGTCCTTTCCGGCCCCCATCTTTCCATTCCCATCTCCATTCTCTGCGCTCTCGGGGCGGTAAGTTTTTCTACATTTTTAGTAGGGCACATCACGACTTCCCTTTCTCTCTGTGATCTTGGACTCTGCTGCCTTCCTCTTGCCCCCATAATCAATGCCAATTTCCTACCCCTTCTCTTAACTTAATGCCATTCACATTTGGTGTAGAATCAGACCGGGCTGTTGCTAAAAGGACCTCAGAGGTCATCTGGGCCAGCTCTGCCTTTTAGAATTGAAGAAATGGAGTCCAGAGAAGTAAAATCTGTTGCCCAATGTCACACAGTATTGAAGCTTAGGAACAGGTCTCGCGTGACTCCCACTTTAGTGTTCTTTGCTCTACACCTGTCATTTATCTCCTTCCCTTCTATCCTCCCTGCAATCTTTGACTTTAGTCTTGGCTCAGGTCATCCCAAGTACTGCCACCTTCATAATATGTGGTTCTGGCTGCGCTGCTCCTGGCTAACATCCTCTAAGGACTCAAGCTCTGCAGGTGGGGCTGGCCTTTCAGCGCCTGGCTTTTCATCAAGGCAGGTGAGTCCTGACTTAGCTTTCTAAGGACATGAGTCTGTGCAAGTCACTACTTCTCTAGCTGACTGAAGCCATTTGTAGCCCACTGCCAGCCCCACCCATCTCACATTGTGCCTTGCCCAAGCTGTCACTTTCCCCACCACTTTCCCAGAGGGGTGCCTTCTCCATCTCTTCTTTTAACCAGATCTCACCAGCCTGACTTCACCCCTCCACAAAACAACCCAAGATAGCATGAGTAAGTCAGACCTAGGTTCAAATCCTAACTCTTCCACTTAACTATGTGATCTTGGTCAAATTGCTTAACCTCTCTGAGCCTCAGGTCATATTGACATGAGAAGGAGAACAATAGTAATGTTCTCCTTTGCATCTATAAATTCTATCATAGCCTTCACCACACAGGCATGTAACTCCCTACATACATACCCTACATACATGTCTCTGCCCTTTCTAGTGCTGGCTATTAGAACTTGCTGCCATAATGGCAGTGTGTAGCCACTTATGTCTGTGGAGCCCATGAAATGTGGCTACTATGACTGAGGAACTGAATTTTTAATTTTAATAATGATGGATGGTTAGTGGCCATTTTATTTTGGACAAGGTATCTCAGACTGTAAGCTCAGTAAGGACAGAAACCATGTTTTTCTTGTTTGTATGTGTATGTCCAGTAACTGTGCATTGCCTAATGCATGGTGAGTACTGCACACATATTGTTGAATGGATGATAACTGCAATTTGTTGCATGCCCGCTGTGTCCAGCACAACACTAAGAACTTGATAAAAGGTACTTCATATTGTCCCCTTCTACAGCCCCTGAGGCTGGGTTAGATTATAGAGAGAGTTTTGTATAGAGGACATAGTAGGATTCAATAAAGTTATTATTATTCTAACTCCTTCTGTGACTCCAGCCCCTGCTTGACTTTTACAGCCCCATCTTTCCTTAGGCTCACAGAACATTTCCCTGGCCTGTTGCTCACGCTCTGTTGTCCACAGCATACCCCTACCCTAGATGGCTGACTCTTGTCTTCTCGTGTAGGTAATTCTGTGTCTAGTAACTGGATTGGCAGCTGGCTCTGGAGTAAGGTCTCCAGTTTAGGACTGCTCCTTGAATCCTAGTAGACTTGACTAGGGGTGCCCAGTGCCTCTAAGTCCATCCAGCTGCTGTCTAGCAATGAGTGATTCTAGGCACCTTAAATGAGTATCACTTGTGCCAACTGAAAAATATTTTACAGGTAGTCTCCTCCCCATAAAAAGGGAATCATCTTGGGCAAGGAAATAGAGTCCCATGAAAGGGGAACAAGATGGAGCCAAAAGGATAGAGGCCTACCTCTTTCAGGCCGCCGCAGTGACTGAAGCTGTATCTATGAGACGAAACATGCATTCAATTGAGCTAGCATAGTTGGTATGATATAATGGAAAATATTCTTAAATGAGCTTTAGATTTTCTTCTTCATGAATTGCAGTGACTGAGATACTAATTGTCTCCTTTCCTCTGGGGACTGTAACTGCTGGGCAGCAAGGCATGTTCCAACAGTGAAACGTCGGCTGGGAGAGCACATGAGAGCTGGAGTGAGAGAGAGGATCGCGACAGAGCCCGAGTACCAGTATTTGAGGCACGGAAGAGGGGAAAAGAGCTCCTCATGGACGAGAGGGCAGAGAAGTTGGAGGACAGCCGGGACAGGGGGATTCCTCAACATCCCAGTGAGGTCAACCACGCTGCGTGATACTGAGAGAGTCACGTCAGATCAAAGCAGAAAGGCAATGAGTGGCTGTGGCTCACGCCTGTAATCCCAGCACTTTGGGAGGCCGAGGCAGGCAGATCACCTGAGGTCAAGAGTTTGAGACCAACCTGGCCAACATGATGAAACTCCGTTTCTACTAAAAATACAAAAAAATTGTCTGGACGTGGTGGCAGGTGCCTGTAATCCCAGCTACTTGGGAGGCTGAGATAGGAGAATCACTTGAACCCAGGAGGCAGAGGTTGCAGTGGAGCTAAGATAGTACCATTGCACTCTAGCCCAAAATAAGAGCTAAATCTCACCCCAAAAAAAAAAAAAAAAAAAAAAAGCGGGGTGGGGGGGTTCAGAAAGGCATCCATTGGATTTAGCAAGAAGAATTGCATTAGTGACTTTATGAAACTAGTTTGGAGGGAAATACAGGTTTCTTAAATTCCACCTGAATATGTGTCCTGTTTTATGGGTGGAGATAGTAGAAGGAGGGGGGAGGGTTAGGAGGTACCAGAAAAGAGAACCAGAGAGTACTGATGAGGGCATTGCCAGTCATGGGCCTGAGACAATGAGAGAGTTCTGGGAGCTGTCCCATTTGGTTACAGATAGTGTGCATTGTATTGTATTTATTTAATAAACACATTTGCAGTCAAAGTCTTGGTTTAATCAATCATTTAAAAAATCACTTTTTTTTTTTTTTTTTTTTTTACAGTACATGGAACTCTGTTGCCAAAATACCGTTTAACTTCAGGGTGCATTGAAGAACAATAATAAAGGTGAGAAAATTGGAAAGGATTTAGTAACCATCTATACTGTTACCTCTCCTTAATTTGCCTTTCTACAAAATGGTGCAAGTCGATCTTCTTGGGAGTTGGTAGAGTGAACATGGGGAGCTTTGACCTCCTTTCCCAAGTTCATTTTGCTCTACAGGACATGGAACGAAGGATTTTTTTTTTTTTCATGTATGCCTATAGCGTGAAGCTGCACAACCTAACAATATCTTCAAGGGCCACAGGATAGAGATAACTTCGCTTTGGTGTATGCATTTGGCATGTATATCTCATTACTTCCTAGGTATTCTTAGCATGATGTCTGTGTATTCTCGTATTCATTCTCACTTGGTGTGTGCTGTTTTTATTCTTCCTGATAGCTCCTTATTTTCCATGTCCAAGCCTGTGGTTTATCTCTCAAGGATGTGCCTGGGGACAGGCCACCATCTCCAAGTCTCTGTCTTTTGATATCAAGAATCTCTCTTTGGTCTCTTACTCCCATCTCTATTTTCTCTCTCTCTTTTTCTTTTCTGACTGTGTGTCTAATTTTCTTTTTCTTTTGTATCT